AGTCGAAAGGAGACTGCGACCATACCCGAGGCCACAACATCTTGGTCTTCACATCTTCAATTTAACTGGTAATTTAAGTTTCGTGAAATCATATGGCCTCATGATGCCAGGGAATTTCACTTAGTCTTACCTTCCAAAAGTTAGTTTCATCCAGGCTGGAATGGACGGCAGCCTCAATTTCATCATTATGGAGAGATTCATCTATCAGTCTTTCATCGCATGCGACCTTGAGTGGCGACAGTTCTTAATGAAAGTGTAATCATAGTTCCAAAACCTACTGACTATAAGTCTCCTATTTTACATAAACATGATATATATATATATATATATTCTATCACTGGCCTTAATACTAATAGCTCCGGCTATTCCAGCGTCAATCTGAGCATTTTCGTCTTCTGATCTCCCTACTTTACTCTTCTCTTCTCTGTTTTCACATCCCTTAGTGTTTTCTTTTTATTTTCTACACCCTCAACAACATTTGCAGGCTATTTTTACCTTTCCCTTTTCACTATACCAACGTCGCAAAACTCTTCCGTTCCTCTCGCGTGGCACGAGATCGCTTCTGCCACTTAAGGCGTGCGGATGTTCCATGCTAAATGTCTTCACTTAAAAGCCTCCCCTTTCAACCCATTTTTGGTCGACTTGGAAATCGTGTAGTTATTTATTTATTTAGTATTTGACGTCGAATAAATGTATGAATCCTGTCTCAGGCTAGGCATACATCACAGTTTCCTACCATCAATCATTTCGGTGAGTGTTTCTGGACAAGAAACGAATCTGCCCAGCCTCCTAAGTTGAATCCCAATTCACCATAACTACTCATCTAGACACATCTGACACATTCATTCGTATATCTGAATGCGTGCATGTGTGTCTGCCTCTATGTGTATCCGCGACGTGTCCGTGTGTCAGCTTATCACTCATCAAAATGCAACGTTTGCTGTCTGGAGTTGTCTTATCTAATCGCCATACTCTCGATTCAGATCACCCGAATCTCACGGCTTTGGCTTAGGCTCTAAACTCTCCAGCCAGCATTTCTCTCTTCTCTCTCTCTCTCTCTCTCTCTCTCTCTCTCTCTCCCTTCCTGCGTCTGAATTTTCCAATCCAATTCTACCGGCTTATTTTCCACATTGGCCCACTCATTCGTCCGGACGGTACAAGAGTCCACTTGCGCTAACACACAAGCCTACACAGCCAAGGCTGGCTAGCGTTATGGCAACGCTTCAACTTCACAAAACCAATGACAGCAGACCAACTTCACCAGAACTGAGCCATTTGAGCCGAATTCGTTTGGATTCGATCGAGCCTCGTAGACGAGGCAATGCGAACGAGAGGCAAAATGAGAGAATAATCTCGGATAAAAGTCCTACTCATCTGACCTCCTCTTGTGTGTACAGTTTGGATATTGTACTTGTTTATGGGTCTCATGTTACCAAGTCGGCCGCCATGGGTAACTGGATTATTTCTTTCACCTGTCGAACAGCTTGTGATGCGCTTAAACAGATATGGGGGAGAGAAATTGTGTGTGTGTGTGTGTGTCTGCGTGCGTATGTATGTTTGTTAGAGATCAGATAGGGCGAGGTATCTGGTGGAAGAGGAGGAAGAGGGAAGCTGGATGGAGGATACGCCAACAGGAAGCCTAGTTGAGGAGACTAGGGCCATCTGTGAACTGGGCTTCTTTGTCTGTTAAAGTTGTCAAATGATGATCACGCACTTAACAAATAAATAAAATTAAGACAATGTCTACACTTATTTTCGACATAAGTTAGTTTGGAGACTATCAGTAATTATTGAGATGAACTAATGTCTGATAGTTGAGTTTTCCCACATTCGGATGAGCAAATCATTGAAATTTACTTTATATGAAGAAAAATCGGGTATCGATGAATAATTCCGGATAAAACTGTTGTGGGGACTTCCTATTCGTACACAAGTGCATGAAAAAGAGATTCGTAGGTTGATCTCACCAGAAGACAACTGTCGATTCTCGTTGTACTGCTACCGTTTAACGTTAGTAC